AATTTGCATCTTCCATATTGGTTGTTTTAACAAACCTAGCAACCCGCTAATCCTTGATTACTTCTGAAAATTCTTCCAGACTGCTGATCGAAAGTATCTATTCATTCATGAGCCACGGACACCTCTGCAGTTTGAGAATGCATTATAGATGGTCGTGAAGCTGCCAAGACCAGCTTGATGGCGTTCAGGACCGCACATTTATCCAACTTTAACATGAACCATGCAAATGCAACTGAGTTCAAGATGGTGGCCTTCTTAGCTGCTCTTATGGTTCTATTTTTCCATGTCTCATACAGCTGGACAAAACTTGCCAGTGCATATCCATAACGCTGGTCCGCTTAAGGATCATACGAAAAATATGAACTGTACCGCAGCAGTAAATATTGCCAATGTTAATCTGAAATATGATTTCTAATGACCAGACGTCATATTTCTTGACTAGTCGCTTGTTATAGCTTCTAACGATGACGATGGCGGTAATTGACGCTTTTGTCTTTGTCTCTCTTGATAGCTATACTGCCAATCAGAAGTGTCATGCTGTTACACGACGTATGATGGCACTAAAATGAAACTGTTTTCTTGATCAAGGGTTTTAATTTTATTGAAATTTATAACATCGAACAGGGCTAAGGATTGCATGTCAAATTTCAAGCGAATGATTTAATTACTACCCCTCAAGCAGAGTACAGATTACTGTCGAAACCAGGTAAATCAGAAGGCGCAAGGTCTTACCTCTTGCTCTTGGCCCGTCCAAAAGGAAAAGATCGATGTTAAAACAGTTCAATTAACAGCAGATTATGCCAAACAGAATTGTCTTGCTGAGATATTATTAGTTCTTCGGCATTCAGGCTATTGAGGATTGAGATTAAAATTATTTTTCATTCTGAAAGCTGTGGTAACTCTGAATAATGGCATAAACGACTTTCCAATCGGAAACAAAAGTCTAAACCAAACTATATATCAATTCTTTTGGTACACCTCAGAAAGTAAGCTGAAAAAATGTTACATTTTCAATGGAGGACCCAGTAAATTCCTTATATAAGTCTATAAATGCTTGCAGGTAAAAAGTGTTTAATAGGTGACAGAAGAAAATCAATGCGCAACCTGTTTTGATTAAGAACTTTTACAAAAATAATTTGCTATGGGAAAAATTACATCTGAAGTAAGATTACATCATAAGTAGATGTTGCGTCCATTATTGGAAGCTACGATACTGACCTTCACCTGTTCGTGGCATACCTACTCAGAGATGGTTACTCTAAGCATGTGTGCTTCCACTGACTCAAGGAAAAAATTTGATACCGAGTAGACTGGCAACTATGCAGTTCCGCTGTTTGGACGTCGATCAGTGGAGAACTCTGTACATATTGCCGCAGTCAGTAGTTTTCCTGAATAATCAGTCCAAAAGCTGTGTCATCTCTGCAATGCGATAGCTGCAATTTGGAAACGCATAAATGATAAAAGAGGCAATTAAAATTGAAAGAAAATTTCTACCAAAATCGTTTTATCACGACTATGAAG